TCGAACGACGGGAGGCAAGTCGTGGTGAGTGAGGGGGAGGGGGGGGGGGGGATACTGCTTGTGCAAGCAGCGTCTATGAGCAGTTCCGTAACTGAGCGAATCTAATAACGTTGGCACCAACGGATAGCGCAGCGGGCGTATGACGTCGTGACTTAACACAGCAGAGACTAATGGCGCAATAAACCTCCTACCCTCGCGATTACTTCAGTTTCTACACAAGGGGCTCCTCGCAATCCAAGAACGCTAAGCATCAATGCGCACACGCACCCTCAGAGGAAGCAGAACCCACGCATGAATACATTCTATTTCGCTCATTGGCCTAAAGTGCGAAACACATGTACGACGAAACCGTCCGATCCGACGTCCGACCGCGCAATACGACGGTCGGAGGCGAGGGTTTTCAACGCTCTCCGATGCTACGAAAACCCTCTCCCCCCAAGGTCGTTCCGGCAGTCCGCACGTCGGATCGGACGGTTTCGTCGTACATGCGTTTCGCGCTTTAGCGCGCTATCGGAGCCAAATCTTTCCCAAGCGGTTTAAAAATAAATAAATAAATAAATAAATAAACGTCCGAGAGAACGCATCCGATTCAATCCACGCTGTCGCGCACCTTCGCGCTGCGTCGATGGGGAGGGCTGCCGCCGACACACCGAGATGCCGGATTCTCCGAGGCAGCGGAGACGGCTGTCTCCGCTGTCATCGAGGGATTGGTGCGACGATAGATGGCGACAGCCACCCCTGCCAATTCAAAGGAGAAATCCCCGAGGTCGTGCGCGTGCAGCCGTTCCAACATACGCAAAAGCTGTCGCGGCGCCAAGGCAATTCAAGTTTCGCAGAGTAAGATGTATCCCTTCTTAAAGTATGTGCAGAACCCGTCGAAACATTGAAATGAAATCGTACTCCTCACGCACTCCTCTTCTGAATAAATTTAAACTCGTCCCGACCATTCTGATAAACCCGATGAGCACAAGAGTGTGTCGTGCCTATGCACTTTTAAAAACAAGGTTTCCAAAAGGGTGGTACAACCAACTTTTACACCCTCAATCGGGTAGGGAAGGAAGTGCCTTGCTTATTACCTCCTCGAGGGTGACAGACACTAGCGCCCCCTATCACTCTTAAAAGAAAGGTTGCCATAAGGTTACCAAAAGGGTGGAATAACCAAACTTTTACACCCTCAATCTGGTGAGGAAGGAAGGAAGGAATTCGTGCCTTGCTTATTACCCAGTCGAGGGGACAGATATACTTGCGCCCCCTATTTGAAATGCGTTTTTAGAAGGTAATGTTAGCCCCCACGACACTTTCGTTGCTCTCCTTTGGATTTCGTCGGCGGTGGAACGCTGGTACTTCTCGCTTTTAAAAACCATGTTTTTGCACAAAAACAAACGGAAAAAGCTCCTTTTGTATGAATTTTGATTGGAGATCAGGGGCGGATCCAGAACTCCGTTTGGGGGGGGGGGGGGGGGGCGGAAAATTTTTAAGGATACTATTCTCCCATTCGTTCTTGTGCAAGGGGGATCCACCCATGTCGAATTGCCCTCCGAGAAGGGGGGGAGGGAGGGGGGTCGACTTTGTTTGGGGGGGGGGGGGGCCGCCCCCGTCGCCACCTCCCCTTGGATCGGCGCCTGTTGGAGATTAGTACAAAATGACAGAAACGTGATGTTTGCCTACAATTTTAGTTTACAGGGCGGCACATTGAATGTTGTTTTTATACAACCATGTCTCACCTGTGACTTTCAAGTAGCGCGTCCCGACCTGGGTGCGTCTTGACTTCGGCGAATATTCGCGGCTCGCCCGCTTGGGAGACAGGGATTGGCGGCCCTGAATCCACTGTATACGTCTCGGCGCCGAAATGGCCGATCAAAGACAAAATTGAACAGTAGAAGGAAAAGCTATCGTATGCGATACTCTGGCTGCTGCGAGAAGGCGCCACCGGTCCTTTGAACGACTACGCGGAGCCTTGGAGTTCGCGGAGTGGTAGCTGCGGGGTACATGGCAGCGATGCGATCGCGTTTAGTTAGGTTCTCGAGTACTGATCGGTGCCACTTTTTGTATGCAGGCTCTTATAGCAGTTTCCCAACCAGTATTCTAGTAATGTTGAGGTAGCCCGAGAGAGGGTGTAAGCTGGTGGACTGTTGATGCCCCCTCGAAGAGGTGACGTTACACCCTTTAAGCATCTGCTGTCACTCCCAAAAAGGTGAAACCTTCAACCCAAAAGTATGCCCTATGCCCTATTGCCTCTTAAGGCAAATAAAATTACACCCTTGATAAAAAGGTTATTACTCCCCATTAGAGATAAGCTGGTCTCCCCAAGGGAGCACAGGTGCACCCTCACATAGGGTGTAAAGTTGCTCCCAAGCGGAAGGGGTAACTTTGCTAACCTTTTGAGACGAACTTCAGGGACAAGCAAGTTACATCCTAAAAGGTGTGACAACAGGAACCTTGTTTTTAAGAGAGTAACACATCCAAAACCAACGAAAGCTCCCTGTAACCAAGCCTAACTAATCACAAAATCACTAATGCGCGCACGACGCCTTCTGTGCTCCCCGAGTTTATCGGAATAATCGAGAGCAGAATAATATTTTTCGACGACAAAATGCCGATAGCGTCATTGCATTGTTTGCGAATTAAAGAAAGCAAAGAGTAAAATTGAAACCCCGCAATCGCACGTGGCTAATTTCGATAGTAGGGAGCCGTGTAGGCAGCGCCAATTGACGGGCTGATAGCACGTCACTTTTTAGGGTTTGGTCCCCGGAGTGAATGGCAGCACAACATCGCCGAACACGAGTGCGCAGTTCTATACCTGCTAGTGATGTGGAAGGCACGGGATCGTCAGCCGCCGCTCCCACGACCAACTGGACCAACTGCCGGGAAGCGCAGCCAAAGCGAGCGCCGCTCCCACGCATCAGCGCGGGGGAGTGCACGCTGTCAGCGCTGCGGAAACTCAAGGCACGTGGAGCGAAAGGTCGCGCTGCGTAACCCAGGAATTATTTCATTGTCGTTAACGTCATCATATGCCTACTTTATATGTGAGCATATAAAGTAGGCATATGATGACGAACGAACTGCTATATTGCCACGATTACGCCGACCCCTTCTTTTTTTATCTGGGCGATCATCGTGCCGGCGCGCGAATCCCTATATACAGCGCGGTGCAGGCTGAAAAACCTCAGATTCTTCAATGTCCCGCTTTCTTTATCGTAAATCAGAAACCAACACGCTCAACCATCTACATTATGCGTTGTATATATATGCTGCACAGAGGAAGCGGCTTCTCCAAAACGTTCAACCAATGTGGTCATCCGTTACACGCATAACTCATGAAATGAAACTTCACGTCCAATTCCTCGCAAACCCCCCCCCCCCTTTTTTTTTTTTTTTTGAGGAGGGGGGGGGGGGGTTACTGATTTTGCTTTTATTTGTAACTTGAGATAACGCTCCCAAAGCAAACGGGTATTCCTTCGGTTGCAAAGCCTCCTCTCCCCAAGCGGAATCGCACTCCCGTGGAAACGAAGGCGACATTGCGGCAGCCATTGCGAAGCATATACATATTCCGGGCCGCGGATCGATGATCAGCATTGCAGAAACAGCACTGTATACATGAACCTCGGTGTTCGTGAACAGTTCAAATGTTAGCAACTTTTACGCATTTCACTATCTGCTTCCTCGGTCACCATTGATGTCTCTCTTTCAATCGTCCCTCTCCCCCAGCACAAAGTATAGCTAAGTAGACGGAATGCGCGAGTGGTGTATACCGAATTGAACAGCGCTCACATACCGCTGCGAATGTGTAAAATGCCACAAGTTCTCTCAGCGGTGTTGAAGCTATAGGTTTGCCACTGTGCTCTTCGATTCGAACCAATGTTTGCCATTTTTAACGTTTTACATTTAACGTCTTTTTGCATGCATTTTAAACGCTGCCAAACTCTCAGCAACCTTCATTTATTCTCTCTCTGTCGTCCTGTTCTGTCCTTCTTTCCTTCCAAGCGTTAAAACAGCAAGTCATTCTGAGACACACGTCATCTTGCGTCCACACCGCCGGTGTGCGGAACCTGCGAGGGATCGTTTGGCTCCAAGGTTCAAGTCGACTGATTGCAGTATACCTGCGACGGAATCCCATGGCGCACAGAGAATCCACCCGGTGATCAGGAACAGTGTATATAATGCCGAATCTCGAAGCTCATGTTCTGAACACCCGGCTGCATCTGGGGCGGCCAACACGCCCGATATGACACGGAGCACGACCTTTCTCGCGTCTTGTTCGGTGTCACATCGCATGGCCTCGGAGATTTATCGTCCTGTTCGTTGCTTCGAATCCATCGCGCGCTGGCGCAAAACGATCGGGCGTCCGCTTTGCCTACGCGTATACACCACAATGATAGTGAGTAGAAATGGCAAGTGGTAAAATAATAATAATAATAATAATAATAATAATAATAATAATAACAACGTTAAAAAAATGTAAGAGGGGTTTTTGACTTGGGGAGCATTACGTTTATTTATATAGCCAGAATCGAGCTCAAGTCATTTCGGGAACAAACACTTCTTCTGTGAGCTACGTCATTCTCCACAGAGTGGAAATCTGAAAGTTGGGCGGGAAAGCAGACGCGCGAGCTTGGCTCAAAAAAAAAAAAAAAAAACAGCGTGGTCATTATCCGCGGTGTTCCAGCGTCGCCAAGCTCTCTGGGCAGTTCGAGGAGTTCCGTCAAAAACAGAGCTTCTAAGCGTGGAAGGCGACGCGAGATCACAACGAACACCTCTCTTCCATTGTGTCACATACCGTATTTTGGAGCGCGTTTCGGTGGTCATCGTTGTAACTCGAACCACTCCATCAGCCAGGTTAAGAACCCCGACACGTCGCTCGACTAACCGGGGGCGTCGGGGCCCCGGGCTCTTCGCAGAGCGCGCGGACGAATCTTGGGCGAAGGCAGGAGCGCGAAGGGAAGCCGCGGGAGACGCCTTGGGTATGTAATAGGAAAATAATTTAATGGCGGGGTCTGTACAGGTCTATTTACACAGCGGGGGCCCGTGCTAGGGCGGCGGATGGCGCTCGGGCGGCGCAAACACGGCGGGCGTGAAGACGGGCATGGACGAGGCGGTGCACAGGGGTCCGAAGGGTCCGAAGAAGGGCAGCACGGGCGGCCGCGTGGCCATGCGGAGCCGCTCGATCTCGGCCTCCTTGAGCCGCTTCTCCTTGGCGCGTCGGTTCTGGAACCAGATCTTCACCTGGGTCTCGGTCAGGCTCAGGGACGACGAGAACTCGGCCCGCTCGGCGATGGACAGGTACTGCTTGGCGCGGAACTTGCGCTCGAGCGACAGCAGCTGCTGCGTCGTGAACGGTGTGCGGGGCTTGCGGTTGCTCTTGTGCTTGCGGAGCTGGCACTTGACGGCTGTGGGCAGCTTGCACGGGCCGGGCACGTCTGCGGGGGCACGCGGAAGCGGCCGCGTCAGTCGCCAGCCGGGCCAGGCAAGGGGGTTCGCGCGCGAGAGGGCAGTCCCGAGTCCAGGGAGGTCAGACCCTGGGCTCCGGACGTCCTCCCGCGAGAACCGTCGCCGAGAACGACGCTGGCAGCGGTCACGTAACAATCGACGTCCTCCTTTCAACACAAAACGAAAACGTCCGCGAGAATCCGTCCAAAGGTTTCCTAAGTGGTCCCGCCTCCTCCTCCCATCAACGACATTCTGGCGGCGCGTGAGCTCCGAAAGTGCACGCGCGATCGAGGCTCGGCACAAGGTGCAGGGCGCGCGCGGAGAGCGAGGCGACCAAACTGTCCCCCTGTCCTTCGTCATGCGCGAGTTCGAGTCCCTGATCAGTTTCCGTTTTGACACGAGAAAAGGACACAAACGCGCGCTCAGAGATCGAGAACATGGGCCCCCACAGGGGGACTACGTTCCCGAGTCACCCGGGAAAGACCTCGCGCTCTCGGCACGTTCGAGCGAGCGGTCAGCGGCGAAAGTGAGCTCGTAGCGATTCCGTCACTGCCTCCACTGCACGAGCGCTCGTGCGGCGGAACGAGGTTGAAAAGCTGCGAGCTCGCGCGGCCTCGTCCAGGTCGGGCGTCGGTGCAAGGGGAGCGGGCACTCACCGAGTCCGGGGGTGGTCGGCGAGCGCGCGAACCAGGCGGCGCCCCAGTGGAGCGCTTGCTCGGGCGGCAGGCACAAGTCGGGCTCCGAGTTGCTGCTCGACGAGCTCGTCACTTGGGCCTCCTGCACGTCACGGGGCCCGCTGCTCACCACGTCCGCGAGCAGGGCCTCGACGGAGAACGGCGTGAACTTCTTTACCGGCTGCAGACCCGTCATGACTGCCGTACGCCGGACCAAGTGAAAAGCGCACGCCCGCCGGCGCGCCTCGAGCCGCGCCGGGGGAGGCGCGGCGCTCCCCTCCAACCGCGGCTCCCCATTGGCTAGAGCCCTTTAAACCCCGCCCACTTTGGTATCGGCGTCACCCCGGGGGGGGACACGCCCCTCGAGCCCCCCCTCATTCCCGGAATCCCGCGCGCGCTCGCGGGACTCCGCGGGACTCCTAATAAGGTTCGGCGTTTCGGGCGACTCGGCACGGGGGGAGGGGGGCCATCGGGGCAATTGCCGGCCGGTGGGGCCTGGCTAATTTGGGCGCCCGCTGACCCAGTCGCCGCTGACGGCTCAATCGGCGACAGGGAGCCTTCTGGGGCCCCCCCGCGCGGGCTCGCCCCTTGGCCCCTAATGAAGCTGTCGCCCCATCTCGCGCACTGACGAAGGATCCGCGGCCACTCGCCGAATGACGGACGCGCCCAGGGACGCCGGCGCTACTAATTGTTTTCGGCCCCCCGCTCCATCCCCGGAGCGTTCCCGGAGTTCCGTGGCCCGGTTTTGAGGCCCGCTGTGATTGACGGCAGGAATACGCACTGGTCCCTTTTTTTCTTTTTTTTTAATTTTTTTTTTTTTCATTAAACATGGCGGTTTTTTCGGAGACAGATCAGTTGACTGGTCCATCGTGTGCTCTGATGAGCGGGCTACTGCGCCCAACGAGATTTCTTCTTCCTTCTTTTTTTTTTTTTTTTTTTTTTTATTTGTGTTCTGTTTTATGTTCGAAGTGAGACTCTCTTCAAGCCGCCTTCTTTTTTCCTTTTTTTTTTTTTTTTTTTTTGTCTGCGTGCGTGTGTCGGAGACCAGCTTACACTGATATGGTAAGCCTTGACACTTGCCACGGTGCGGCACTTGAACTATCTTTACTACATTACATTTTGAAATGAGTGCATCCGATATGTTCGAATATTAAATGATCTGCGGGATTCCTTAAGTGCAGCACGGCTATTGGAGCGTGACGCCGGTCGCCCCTCTGTTTTGTCCAACTGATTAGAGGAAGAACAATGTTCGATGTTCCGAGCGCATAGCGATGCAATACGCATTCAAAAAAGAAAAAAAAAAAAAGTTGGTTTAATAGTGTTCAGAGCATTTTGAAAAGCTGTGCTGTGTGACACCAGTGTTTAACCGGATTCTCGATAAAAGCATTTGATATGAGGTACTGCACCTCCTCTGTCGTGATGCATTAGAGTAGAGCATTTGATTAGGGGCGAATTTGTAAAATTAGGCATATATTCCTAAACAAACTAAAAAAAAAAAAAGAGTCTATGATTGCTTTGGTAGAAAAGAGTCGCCCTTGTGGCGACTTATATCCGCCCTTATATTCGAGTTCCTTTAACAACGAATGTTTCTCCGAATAGGGTACAAATATATTCCAAAGAGGCGTAATTCAATTCCTTTGGAATATACTTGTTTAGCTGACGAGCACGTGCCAAATTGATATTTATTTCCGGGATCAAAGGAGAGAAAATGGGGCGTGGTATACTTCTAGATGATGGTCCCTGAAAATCACCATCTGCTGCGGTGGTCTTTACGACGTGCGCTCTACTAAATCGAGGTTGGCGACGTTTCGCTTTTCCTTTTGCTCAGTCCTTTGGCTCGTCGCGGCTCTTGACCCATCAGTACCGGCTTGTCGGGACGCTCGATGGTCTGCATGCTTCCTGGCCGACTCGGAGATGACGCGTCTGAGTGCCCAACGTGCCTAAATATCAAACGGGGCGGGAGACCCGATGGCGGACCTGTATAGCACGTTGGATATTCCGACCTTTTTGGACATTCCGATCAGGGACGAATTAAAAAGCCGGCGTACAACCTCGGTTTTCTGCAGGGAAGTTGATCCTTTTAGCGCACCCCTCTCTAAGGCTGTGAGCGGAGCCAAGTTGAGGCAAGGTAATAAGTGGAGAGGATAAAGGAAAGCAGGAGGCGGGCAAAAGCGCAAAGTGGACGTCGGCCTTTAAGAAGGGAGTCCCCCTGAAAATCCGAACAGCTACGTTTTTTGTTTGTTTGTTTTTAATGGAAAATTAACATAACCACCTTTTTTTAGGAATAGATGTTTAGATTTTGGTGAAACGGCAGTTATTAGGGTAATGCTTCTCCTGTGACGATATATATCTCTGCAGAACTTCCTCTCCAAAGCCTGACCCCTAAATCCGCCTCTGATTCCTCCAACTGAACCGGATCTTCCGTCTCGGTGCATGATATTGCGGCCCGTCCGTATATAGCGCAATGTATTGACCATTCAGGTTCGTTTCAGTCTCGTCGTACATTGAGGCCAGAAGCGGCGAGCGATGTGTATGATCTATATAGAGGGAAGCATTGGGGGAGTCGGGTTTGCCTTTGAACGATTCTTCGGGAAGAAAGGAGCGTTCCCTTAGAACGGGAGAGAGGACAGTTGCGGCCGGGGCGCGGCAAGAGCATGGTATAGCCGCCCCGCCACACTCCCAATTGCGACGTATACGCTCCCCAAATAACCCACACAGGTTCGCAATTAAACCATCGTCGTTCAATGTGGAAAACTGTCCCGTACTCCGCCTCCTCGTCGACACGAGGTCAAGGGACCAGCTCTGTCTGCTATCGTTCCCAACATCGAACGGATCCGTCGCACTGAACACGTGCTGACGCCGAAGCATTCTAAAAGAATTCCGGATACGCGAAATAATGAGAGGTTGTTTGTCATCGAGAGCATTCGGGAACAAAGAAAGCTGACGTATAGAATAGTGAGGGCGCGCCTATATGCTCGAGCGTTCAGAGGCAACTGAACTTTAAAAATAAAAGAAACAAAAGTGCAAACAAGTATTGGGAGAGTCACGCCTGTCTGCCTCGGGGTCCTCTGTTTGTTTCTTTATTTCTCGTTCTCCGCACTAGGCTCGGTTAAAAAAGGCATCCAACAATGAGAGGGATCGACCGCGCCCATGGCACTCGTTGGCGTCGCCTGTCTTGTGTTGCGTCGCTGCAGTCTTTCTCGTGCTTAGCGGGTGCTACATTATAATTCAGAGCTCTGACGAATGGCTCTTTCTATCAAAGATATATGTAAGTATTAGGCCGGTTTTTTTTTTTTTTTTTTTTTTTTTTTTTTATCACACGTTCTAATTGTTGTGATTCTCTTAGAATCAGAACAATCGCAACTCTTAGATTATAAAAATAATCTAAGAGTTGCGAGACTCCAAAAAGTGTCACTCATGAAAACTGGAAAAATGGCAAGACCTGTACTCTAGGAAAAAGCGGAGCGGTATTTAGTCCTTCGGGGGACCAAATGCGCTGCCGCCACCACCATTAGTCTCCTGGGGAACTGACGGGAAAGGGAGCAACTTTTGCGCCCCTCCCGTTAGTTCCTCAAAGTTTAACCCCCAGCACTATATTTTGCACCCTTGCATTTAGGCCACTGGGATTAAATGTTGCGCCCAAACTTTATTTATTACTAAATTGCGCCTTACAGACCCAGGTGGCGCTAGTCAACGTCAAATTCAAAATTGATAAAAAGAAGTTATCACTGGGGTAGACGTTTTTCAAGCTCATTAGATTCAGATTTAATCAGCGCTTATTTCAAATTTGCACCCATATATTACACGTTTAACATAGACAAAGAATTAGAACACAGATGACACACACGCAAAACGCACACGCAATGATAGGCTAATCCAATCGCCACCCCCAAAGGCTACCCATGTGCCTTTTATACTGATCACTTGAAAAAAGACGTTCGATCAGTGACCACCTCGTCCGTGACCGATGTTACAAATATGGTGCTGCTTGCGCATCAATATTGTTCTTCAATATTGTTGCGAAACATTCCAAGGAATGCATCTCTCACTAAGAGGTAACGGTACACTCTAAAAAGGTCTCTCATAAAAAGCACTCTCCCTCTGATTTTAGAGGGGATGCCGATGCTTTCAGGGGGACAGCTCTTTGTAAGAGGAAAATGGAAAAATAAAATAGCAACATCCAGACTAGAGGGACACCTACATATTAAAGGGACACTAACAACCCCCAAATTTATTTTTACGATTTTTTGCCAGGCGATTTATTATGGTGTCAGAAGACTACCCAATCAATGTTTTGCTACAGTGTCACGTATATTTTTAAATAAAGTCAAAAACCGCAACTGCTGGAAACCGAAACTGGACTGAAGAGGAAGAAGAAATACAGAGGAGAAAGATACCAAAGTCACGTAACTGTGGAACATTTTTTTTTCTTTTTTTTTTCAATTACGCATTTGCAGTTTTTAGAGGCCACAAAACATGGGTATAATATTTTTTGTCCATTTCTAGTATTGAGTGTGTGCCCACGATGACCCACGACTTTGATTATCTTTGGTGGTTGTGTCTAAGCAAACCATAAAAAACGGCACGTGACCACGGAGAAGAGAGTGAGCGCGACTCAAACCGGCCACTTCTGGATCGGAGGTTTTCGGGCGGAAAGAAAACAAATTTCGAGCTGCAAATTGCGCTTTTGGTAGTTGGGCTCTCATATGACATGTACAAATAAGAACCTTGGCAAGCATAAATACCCTGTCAGTGTCCTTTTAAGAGAGACCATGGAAACCGTTCCCTTGGTCCCTCTGAGTAGAAAAGAGCGAGAGAAGAATGCATGCGTGTCCCTCTTGTCCTGTTTCCCTTCGTCTGTGTCCCTGTATTTTTTCGGCGCTTTTTTGCTTGCGTGTCCCTCTTAACTGGACCAATGTAGTTCGGTCAAGACGAGAGGTGCAGGCGCGCTAATCCACGGCAAAAAGTTCAGACGGTGCTAAGGCTTCGCGCCAATTCACGGAGAGAGCTGGAAACCTGGAAACAGTCGTGGCCGGAGAGTCGAAAGAGACATGCTGCTGCTCGTTTGACTTCCTTCGGGTAAATAATCCTGTTATTTTGACGCTTTTTTTTTCTGGGGGGGGGGGGGGGGGGGGCGGGGGGGGTATATTGAGGGTGGGAATAACGAGCCATCAATATTTTCACGCTGGCTGTGAAA